GCGATTTTTTGCAAACATTTCTTTGAGTAACATGACCGTAAATATGAACTCACCGTTGAATGTAACATAAAACAAGTGATTACTATTCGTTAAAATCTTTATTAATAAGTGAGACTCACGCAATTGACACTTTTCTCATTTTCTCACGCAGTGAAAAGCACCCTAATGCCGAGTTCACACTGCACGGTTTGTCATGGAAAAGTTCATTTATTTCAGTAATTCAACTCAAATTGTGGAACTAGTGTATTAAATAAATTCAATGCACACAGACTGAAGTAGTTTAAGTCTTTGGTTCTTTTAATTGTGATGATTTTGGCTATGAGAAAAACAGATTATGCAGGAGGGAGATGCAGGGAACAGGGATTGGGTGTTCTGCAAAGAGAGTTGGAGGTAAATAATTTTGCAGTAACTGATGTTGTGGCTGGTCAAGCAAATGTTTGTGTTTGTGTCTGTGTGATATAATTCATAGGCTGTATCTATTAAAATACTGATATTCTGGTCTATAACTCCTCCCCGAATTTCCCGCTGCCCTGTATCTTGGTCTCTCATTGGCTGTAGGTCATCGCCGATGTGTTTTTCAGTCAGAACTCATTTCACACAGTGTGATTTGTGAATCGCCGACAGCTCCAGATATTTAGCATGCCAAATATTTCACGGGCGTCGGCGACGTGTCGGCGATTCCCTCAGATCGCGTCTTTGATAATTCACACTGCGTGATTGTCACTCGCGTGAACGAGCACCAATTTGCCTCCGATTTCAGGCATTTGTCAGCGATTTCGCAAAACCTGTCGGCGAGTGAAAAATCGGGCTAAAATCGTGCAGTGTGAACTCGGCATAGGTTGAAAATGTAATAGGATATTGGTGAAATAGATTTGGTAAACGCTCCTGTGCATATTTGTGTTTGAGCTCAGGAGAACGTCAAAAATAAGGACTGAAAAGCCTTCATGTAAACACCTTAATCGATCCAATTGAGCTCGACAATGAAATTTCGATCGGATTGAAGGGGATGGTTTGTTCCTTTTCTAATACGATTGAGAGTGCATGTAAACACTTGATCATGTGTAATGACGCAGAAATAGAGTAATGACGTATGACGCGCAGAACGAACGGCTCTTCCTTTTGAATAAAGTGTTGTATAAATGTGTGTCCTGTCATTATAAAACTCTCCTTTCACTCGGCAACTGTGAAGTGGAGCAGGACAACCTCCCACCAGTCCTTGTTTTGGATTCTCATCCACAGGCAACCGGTTTTGGGCGCGGGGAGGGGCATTTTTACTGCGTGATTAATATGAGCAGCACAGCACAGCGGTTTATATGTATATTTATCCGTAAATGGATAAATATTAATTCTGCTGTTAAAAACAAATAAAGAAACCGTGTAGGGGATATATATATATATATATATATATATATATATATAT